CACTTGCCCAGCATGAGTTTAAGCCACCGGGTCCAGGACTCAAACCGCGGTCGACTACATGTGAGTCCAGTGACATAGCCATTACGCTAGCTGCTGGTCCCAAGAGCTCTTTTTGATAAGCTCAGTTTTAGTCAGGACTCACTCCTGTTGCAAGTGACAGAACCAGATTCAAATTGACTTAAAGGAATGAAAAGGTACTTCATGGCTCTCGTAAGTGAGAAGTACAGCAGTCAGGTATATTCTGCTGGGACAGCTAGGCTAAGAGGGTGTGAGTCTAAATGCCCCGCCTGTGGAAAGATCAGACTCCACACACACACACACGTAATTTTTCTTTTGGATGCATGTGTGTATCAGAGAGAGAAAAAGTGTACCCCAGTGGGGCCTGGGCCTACCACAGTCTCTTTTCTGTGTTCTTCCCTGTCAGGATCCTGGGCATGTGCACATATGCACACATGTACCCAAACCAGAGCCAGAATTCAGATTGCAGACAGCTATGTGAGATCTGGCTCCCTCCACTCACAATGTTTAAAACTAGCCATCTAAGGGAACCAGCAGGTGGCGTGGTGGTTGGGGTGCTGGACACTCCCACATAGCCAACCAAGGTTTGAGTCTTGGACCTGGTGGCTTGCTTTCTCACTTTCTCTCTCTCATCAAATTAAAATAAATGAATGAATAAATAAAATAAGTAATTATTAAAAAAAAAAAAAAAAAACAGCCATTCCAAACAAGTGTATCCATGGAGCTTTTTGTTGTTCTTAAACAAGTTTGAGTTGGGTTTTTAACTTGCCTAAGACTTCTGACCTATATATACTATTTAGTGACCTCACTTGGAATTTAAGGAAAGGAATATTATTGTTGGTCCTAAAAAGTTAACAAAGGATTCTGGTCTAAGTATTGACAATAACAAGGTTCTAATCCCAGTATTAGGCAAGGCTCTTATAGGCCTTAGTTTTCTTACTTGAAGGGGTTGGAGACCAGCAGGTGGTGTAATGGTTATGTCACTGGACTCCTGCATAGTCGACAGTGGTTTGAGTCCAGGACCAAAAAAAAAGTGAAAGGCTTGAATTAGACTTTCCCTAAAGTATCTTGCTTGTCACTATTTTATAAAATGTGCTATCATAATATTGTGTTTAGGTGCTTATCTGATGATTTTAATGTTTATTAAAATGTCAGGACTAAAGACCAGCAGATAGCGTAAGGGCTATGTTGCTGGACTCCCATGTAGTCCACTGCGGTTTGAGTCCTGGACCCGGTGGCTTAAACTCACGCCGGGCATGTGTGCGTGCGTGCCCAAGATCCTGAGAGGAGAATGGAGGAGAAGGGATTGCGGCATGGCCATCCCCCCTAGGGGGTGATTTCTCGCTTTCTGTCTCTCTGTCTTTCTGGCAAGTGCACGCACCTATAGCAAAACATAATAATAATGACCTCTCCAAAAAAAAAAAAAGGACTGAATAATCATAAGCAATCTCTGGACATTTTAGAAGGATCTGCTGAAAAATTACCTAGGGGGAACCAGCAGTTAGCGTAATGGCTATGTTGCTGGACTCCCACATAGTCGACCGCAGTTCGTGTCCCGGACCCGGTGGCTTAGAACTCACGCCGGGCGCGTGTATGTGCGTACCCAAGATCCCGAGAGGAGAATGGAGGAGAAGGGACTGCGGCGTGACCATCCCCCCTGGGGGGTGATTTCTCACTTTCTGTCTCTATGTCTCTCTCTGTCTGTCTGGTGAGCGCACGCGCCCTATAGCGAAAACCTCTCCAAAAAAAGAAAAAGAAAAAATTACCTAGGTACTGCATCGCTTTCACTGTTGAACCAGAATAACAAGAACCCATACCTAAGCAAAAAGGAAGATTGACTATCAGGACCAGAAAGAACGGAGTAGAATTCTCATCTGACCCAGAGCAGAAATGTAGCTCAGCTGCACTGGCATCCCCAGCCAGCGAAGTCATTAAGAGCCTAGGCAGCTGCACTTTCAGTCCCCTGAGTCCCTGTGGTCACTTGGCTCTTTCCTCTACATAATGGCTGAATTTCACAGAGGACGGTCTCTGAGGGATTCATCAGCAACCCATTTCAGTGCTAGGAACCAGATGAGCAGTGTCTCAGGTCCAAGTTCAAAGTCCCTGCGGATAATCTCATTGGCCCATCTTAAGTCAAGTGCCCACCCTTGCTCCAGTCAGCTGTCACGGCCGTTGTCACATGTTATAAACAATGACAAAGGGGCTTACATAGAGGAGAGGTTGTTCTCTGAGAAATAGGGCATGGGCTGAACTTACAGCCCTAAAATGTTTACATCTGACTACCGATCTTGTGGTAGTCAAGTTACAATATGAAAATTACGTGTAAAATTAACTGCTTGAGGAATTCAGCCATTTTGCTGCAGCTTGATTCTTTTCAATTTGCAAGCAAGAAACATGCTTTTATTAACTTTAGTTAATGAGAGTTTGAGGAGATAGAAGGGTAAAGCAAGCATTCAAAGAAATCTCTGCGGGGGCGGGGGGCTCCCACATTGTCGACTATGGCTGAAGTCGCAGACCCAGCAACTTTAAACTCAGGCCGACTGCATTCACGTGCATGCCCAAAATCCCAAGAGGAGTATGCCGGGCTAGGGACTGCAGCATGGTCATTCCCCCTGGAGGGTGATTTCCTCACTTTCTGTCTCTCTGGCAAGTGCATGCACTCTGTAGCAAAAATCCTTTGGGGAAAAAAATTTAAAAAGATACCAGGACCAGAAAGCAGTGTAGTGGTTAAGGCTCTAGATTCCCACATGGCGAACCACAGTGTGAAGCCCCGACCCAGTGACCTGAAACTTGTCTGGTGCATATGTATGCATGCCCAGATCCAGAGGAGATTACAGAAGAGACTGCGGTGTGGCCATTCCTCCTGAGGGGTGATTTCTCACTTTCTCTGAATCTCTGGCAAGTGCAGGTGCCCTATGGGAAAAAAAGAAAAAAAAAAACCTTAGCTGAAAAAAGAAAGAAAGCACTTAGCCTGAGCCTACAGAGAACCAGGATATCTTTTCTTTTTTAAATTATTTCCTTCCTGAGAGAGAAAAATGCAGACTCTTAACTGGATCTGTGCCGTGATCCTCCCCCGAGCCCTGCAGCCAGCCTCGGGCCACGGCAGCATGCTCAGACCAGGATACAAACCTGGAGTCTTCTCAGCAGTGCCCCTGCTGCTGGTGCCACTGTGGCTGGCCCTCGGGATACCACTTTGAATATAGCTTAGCCCTAGCAGTCAGCTGGCGCATCCCTCAGCAGTGGGCTTCCAATGTTTTCCATTTGTAGTAGACCAGAAAATGTCCCCCATTGATACTAGGTTCTAATCACTAGAACCTGCAAATGTTACCTTATTTGGTAAAAGGATCTTAGCAGATGTGATTAAGTTATGAAAATTAAGGATTATGTTAAAGAAACAACTGTATATTTGTTTTTCTGTTTTTACTAGAGTCTTAAGATGTTTGAAAGCAACACTGTCTTATGTCACTTTAGAGCATGTGATAGGACCTGGACCCCCTCCCAACCAACGCAGACAGTACTCGTTAAATATTAAATGAATCAGATGTCGCTGGACTCCAGTGTAGTTGACCACGGTTCAAGTCCTGGACCCGGTGGCTTAAAACTCACGCCGGGCACGTGTGCATGCGTGCCCAAGATCCCGAGAGGAGAATGGAGGAGAAGGGATTGTGTACGGCCACCCCCCTGGGGGGTGATTTCTTGCTTCCTGTCTCTCTGTTCCTTTCTTTATCTTCAGCGAGCACACGCTCCCTATAGGAAAAATCTCTCTCAAAAAAAATAATAACATTAAATAAATAAAGGGAGGTCCAGGAGGTGAACATGAAAAGATGTGGGTTGAAAAATAAGTCAGCCAGTAAAGAATAGGGGTAGTGTTGCCTGGCAACCAGACTGACCCTTTGTGCTTCCAGGTTATTTTTTTAAAGGTTTGTTTGTTTATTTCTCCCAGGAAGGAGAGACAAGCAGGCACCCCAGCAGGGTCTTCATGCTGCCGTCTACCCCCAGTCTCAGCTGGCCCAGATTACAGTTACACACGTGACCATGCGCTCAGAATGGTCCCCGGACACAAACCCAGGGCCTTTCCCACATGGATCCAGTTGCAGTACCGCTGTACCCTAGCCTAGACCCCCATCTGGTTAACACCAGCTGTCAAGCTGCATTTCGCTCTCCCAACTCAGCTTACAGATCCTTTTTTTTTTTTTTAGAGGGATTTGTTTGCTATAGGCCCTGTGCACTTGCTGGAGAGACAGAGACAAAAAGTGAGAAATCAACCCCCAGGGAGGATGGCCATGTCTCAATCCCTCCTCTTCCATTTTTCTCTCAGGATTTTGGGCACACATGCATATGTGCTCAGCATGAGTTTTAAGCCTCCGAGTCCAGATTTGAACCTCATTTGACTACATGGGAGTTCATCAATGTAACCATTGTGCCATCTGCTGGTCCCTAACTTCCAGATTATTATTTGTTTTTAAGAATTATTTTATTTTTAACTTTTTTAT